TTTTCGCACAACCTCTCCAGCATAAGTTGTCATCAGTGTTTTTGATCTTGGCCATTCTTAGAGGTGTAAGATGGAATCACAGAATTGTTTCGATTTGCACATCTCTGATGACTAAGAATGTTGAGCATTTCCTTAAGTGTCTTTTAGCCATTTTTGAATTACTCTGTTGAGAGTTCTCTGTTTAGGTTACACACCATTTTTTATTGAATTATTTGTTCTTTTAATGACCAATTTCTTGAGTTCTTTATATATTTTGGAGATCAGACCTCTGTCTAATGTGGGGTTAGTGAAGATCTTTTCTTATTCTGTAGGCTGTCATTTTTGTCATTTTGTGTCCTTTGCTTTACAGAAGATTTTCAGTTTCAGGAGGTCCCATTTATTAGTTTTTTTCTCTCAGTGTCTGTGCTTCTCTGGGTATATATAGGAAGTGATCTCCTCTGCCAATATGTTCAAGTGTACTTCGCACTTTCTCTTGTATAAGATTCAGTGTGGCTGACTTTATGTTGAGGTTTTTGATTCATTTGGACTTGATTTTGTGCATGGTGATAGATATGGGTCTATTTTCATTCTTCTGCATGTTGATATCTAGTTATGCCAGCACCATTTGTTAAATATGCTTTATTTTTCCCATTTTATATTTTTAGCTTTTTTTTGTCAAATACCAGGTTTTCAAAGGTGTGTGGATTAATATCTGGGTCTTCATTCAGTTCCATTGGTCCTCCTGGTGGTTCTTATGCCAATACCAGGGTGCTTTTAGTACTGTAGCTCTGTAGTAGAGTTTGAAGTCAGGGATTGTGATGCCTCCAGAAGTTCTTTTATTGTACAGGATTGTTTTGGCTATTCTGGGTTTTTTGCTTTTCCATATGAAGGTGAGTACCAATCTTCCGAGGTCTGTGAAGAATTTTGCTGGAATTTCGATGGGCATTGCATTGGATATGTAGATTGCTTTTGTTAAGACGGACATATTTACTATGTTAATTCTACCTACTCAAGAGCATGGGAGATCTTTCCACTTTCTGGTGCCTTTTTCAATTTCTTTATTTAAAGATTTAAAGTTCTTGTCATACAAATCTTCTATTTGGTTAGATTTACTCTGAGATATTTTATGCTAGTAGTTGTGGCTATTGTGAAGTGTGATGTATTTATGATTTTTTCCCAATTCTTTTATCATCTGAGTACAGGAGGGCTACTAATTCTTTGAGTTAATCTTGGATGCTGCTGCAGTACTGAAAGTGTTGATGAGTTGTAGAAGTTCCTTGGTAGAATTTTGGGGGTCACTCATGTAAACTATCATATCATCAGCAAGCATGGAGAGTTTGACTTCTTTTTTTCCAATTTGTTTCCCCTTGATCTTCTTTTTATATCTTATTGCTCTAGCTAGGACCTTGAGAACTATATTGAATATATATGAAGAGAGTTGACAACCCTGCCTTGTTCATGATTTCAGAGGGATCGCTGGGATTTTCGCTCCATTTATTTTAATTCAATTGGGATACTTCTTTAAATGGTGTATGCACAGTGAATGCCCTTGAGCGCGCGCACACACACACACACACACACACACACACACAGAGAGAGAGAGAGAGAGAGAGACAGACAGACAGACAGACAGACAGAGAGAAAATACATACATATGCTCTATACATTATATAATAAAAATAAAATATTATTTATTATGTCTTTTTTCAGACTTCATTGGTGTTATTTTTCTCTCTCCTTGTCTTTATTGACATCCTTTCCCCTTCTCAAGTAATCCCCTATACGCCTTTGTCTCATTTTACTGTTTCTATCACTTATGCTCTGCTATTTCCTTTTCTAGTGCTCCCTCCACCACGACCATCATTTCCGTTCCTGATTTCTATGATATCTCCAGGGTATATACTCACATTAAAGATGTGGAACTATAATATATGTGTGTTCCACATTTCTATTATCCATTTATTAGTTGGAGAACATTTAAGTTGTTTTATTTCCTAGATGTTGTGAATAGATTAGGAAGGATCATGGCTCAGTATCTATTGTGGACTGTACTGAATTCTTGGGAATATGACAAGGAATGATACATTTGTGTCATGTGATAGATTTATACGTAGCTTTGGGAAGTTTTCCACACTCATATGCAGATATGCTGAATCAGTTTGCAGTCACACTATCATTAATTGTGAGTTCCTATTTCTCTCTTCCTCACCAGTACATATCAGTTGCTTTTTTGATCTTAACAATTCTGATCAGTGTACAATATATTAGAGAACTTTATTATTACAGCCCAATTATAATATAAAACATATATATGTGCATATATATGTGGGTGTATTAGAGATGTAAAACATCAGCAATATGATTCTAATAAAGATGTTAAAAATATTCATTTACAGGAAAAATGACATTAAAATTAACAATAAATTGTATTGGAAAGCAATATACACATGCAGAACAAATATATGAAGTTGCTATGTCCTTTTTTCCACAAAGTGAAAACATCCAGATTTGAAAAGCCTTCTGTAACTATGAACAAAATAATGCTGAATACCTGTTGTTGGTCTGCAAATGCAAACCCAGTCAACATTCATGAATGAATGAGGTGCTCAAGGGATATTAGCTCTTACTGCTAGAGTATTTGATGTTGATAGGTTCTGAGTGAGGGAGAATCATTGTCTTCAGTTTTGTATTCACTGTTGAGCTCATCAGGATTCAAAAGATTGCTTCACCGTCTTTATTTCATTCATTAAACTGCATGGGTATCAAGGAAAATGAATAATTATGAATGTGAAAAAGATATCTATTCAATGTCCACCATATTCAGTGAGTCCGGTTTTATCCCATGCATTTTCAGTCCCAGTCCAGCTGGCCTTGGTGATCTCCTAATAGATCAGCCCCACCGTCTCAGTGGGTGGGTGCCTCCCTTGCGGTCCTGACTTCTTTGCTCATGTTCTCCTTCCTTCTGTTCCTCATTTGGACCTTGAGAGCTCTGTCCATTGCTCCGATGTGAGTCTGCTGAGAAGCCAAGGACAAGGGCACTGAGTTTTGACCCTTCTGCATGTACTGGCTTTGTGGGAGCCTAGCCGGTTTGGATGCTCACCTTAATAGACCTGGATGGAGGGGGGAGGACCTTGGACTGCCCACAGGGCAAGGAAACCTGACTGCTCTTTGGACTGTAGAGGGAGGGGGAGAGGAGTGGGAAGGGGGGAGGGGGAGGAAAAATGGAGGCAGGGAGGAGGCAGAAATTTTTAATTAAAAAAATTTAATAATAATAAAAAGATATCTATTCAAAAGAGAATAGTAGACTGGGGTAGTCAGGAGATGGAAGAAGGTGGAGATGAAAGTATAAAAGATGAATTTATACTTGCGTGAAACTGCCAAATAACAAATTTAATAATTAGTTTTTAAATGATTAAATACATAAATGTAAGATCTAAAACTGATAAGTTATGAGAAACAGAGAATGCTTAAGACTATGAAATGGGAAAGAACTCTTAGATGAGATCCTAATCCAATGTAGAAAATAAATGACAAGTTAAAAAAAATAATACCACAAGTTATTAAAAAGTTCTACACAGTAAAATAAACAACAGAATGAAGTGAAGTTCAAACTACAAATTTGAAGAAAACTTTTGAAAATTAGACAGGCAAAGGACCAAGCAAAACTAATAGAAAAAAAAACTATAAATAATCTGCTTTTGAAATAAGCAGTTGACTTAAATTGATATTTTGTTAAAAGGCACACACTCACCATAACTAAACCTTAGGGAAGTGTAACCCCAAACCTCAAAAGTAATCATGTTAATTCAGTGTGAGTAAATAACAAATATGCATTTAATTGTCAATTTGATATAAAAGACATAAAGAACAGAGAATATCAACAACAATAAAGAGCTAACACACATACACATATCTTAAGACTGGAGAAAGGTCTCATACAGCAACTTCACTATTGTATGTATATTTTTTTTTTAAAAAAGATGAAACCAGTATGGACAAAATTCATCTCCAAAGTTTTGTCCCCATTTATGGCAACAAAATTCACAGAGCCAAAAGGTGGAGGCAACAAATCTGTTAAATTAACTTACAAATGAGGTGTTATAAATACAAATTTGGATGAATTTCCTTCATTTCAGCAAATACATATAGAACCTAACATTAAGTGTAACAAGCCAAGCTCAGAAAATATTACACAATCTCATATATAATTATGGAAGCATTTTATATCAGTTAATGTTTTATAATAACTAGTGTTACAGTAGTATCATCAGAATCAATGTAGGACTGGGAGGAGAAAGCATGAAAAATGTGGACCATTACCTGTAAAATAAGATTTCTCCACTGCTGCATGATATTATTAGAAAAATACAGTACTTGTAGAACAAAATTAATTAATTAAAAACTGATCATTGACTTCTTTAAAAAATATTCTAAACTCCCTTTCTAAATTTTATATCATATTGCGATTTCCAGAAATACTGGTAAATGTTTACTATTTAATTCAAACCAATTAATTTTTTTGTCAGGACATTAAGATTAAATCTAGTTCTAAATATTTTTTTTATTTTAATAATTCAACTCTTTTTCTTATTTGAACTATGAAATCTATACAAACATCTGAATGCCATGTATTTTCACAAACCTTAATATCATATAAAAATTAAAAAAATAGAAATATTATAAATTCTTTTAAAATACTTTATTAATTTATGTGAATGAATGCCTGACCTGATTGTATATCTGTGAATCACAAGTGTGCATTGTCTGTGGAGGCCAGAGGAAGATTTCCTGAAATTGAAATAACAAGATGTTGTGAGTCCCTCATGGGTGCTGGAATCATATCCAGGTCCTCAGAAAGGTCAGCAATTGCTCTTATCCACTGAGCCAGCTCTCTGTCTCTCATTATGAATTCTTTACATAGTCAAGAAAAATTACTAATATGTGTGCTTATCAAATAAATACCTAATGATGCCTATTTATATGTTATTACATAGTATATAATATATAATATTGTTCTACAGATGCTCCTAAGTTTGTTTCAAATCAGACAATTTACTATTCTTGGGAAGGAAATCCAATCAATATAAGTTGCGATGTGACATCAAATCCACCTGCATCAATCCATTGGAGAAGAGAGAAATTGGTCTTACCAGCTAAAAACACCACTCATTTAAAGACATACAGTGTCGGGAGAAAGATGATACTAGAGGTAAGCCTTCATCTGCACATCAATAAGCATATTTTTAGCCATTATCGATTATGTCAGAATACATTTAATTTGAATTTCTATAAGACATATATTAAAATATTTATATAAATTTCATATTACTTTGAAAAATTAATTTTAGTTGGTATAATAACCAATTCTTTATCTGTGCTTCTATATCTGAAATATTTTTCATGAATTTACTTTCTGAAAGTGAAATAATTATGTTTGTGAGAAAATATGGGGTTGGCAAATAATTCAAAGATTTAACTTCAAAGTTGATTGATTATCTCACTGTTCTTTTTGTTTATATCTATTATTCTTTGACAGCTGTATAAACTTATCATTTGGTTAATAATGTATAATTCTAGAGATGTCAATGATTATGCCTATATTGCAAATATTTAAATTTTTGATGAAAATTTTATCTAATAGCTGGGGTTATCTCAATTTATATTGTGTACAACTTTTAAATCTTTCTCTTGTTTACTTTAGTATTTTTCTGAAACCATCACTAAATTTTAAAAAGAACAATTTGACAGAGGAAAGATTTATTTGGGTTCAGAGATTCAAGAATATTCAATTAATAGAGATTTGGCCCCATGCAGTTGGACAGAGCATTACAAAGGCATGGCCATGTGGTGCAGAATTCCCTTTATACTAGATGAGAAGCAAAAAGCAAGAGAATGTTGGCACAGTTTTTTCCCCCTTTTTCCAATTTTATTTCATTCTGGTGCCCAGCCAGTAGAATGGTGCTGTCCACATTAAGTTTGGGTCTTTCCAATCTTCTCAAGAAACATCCTCACAAGATCACCCACATGCTATTCTAAATCCAAAGATGTTGTCAAGAGAACCAAACATCACTGACCTTCTTGTAAAAACAATTGTTGGATGAGAAGTTGCTTTCTAGGAACAGTGACTTCAAGTTGGCTTGGTTAATTCATCCTTTCTTCCTTTTTCTTTATTTTCTCTCTTGCTTGTATTTTTCCCTTGATTATTTTGTATTTCTAGTTCTCTTAATCTGTGCTATATTAAATGATTTCAGTATTTACTAAGCCTAGCATCATAAATGAATTATTGTGATAAACTTGCAAAGCCTGTTTTTGTTCTTGGAGTAGGAGGGTCTATGAATTCAACGTCTTATTTCCTATTAAGTTCTAAACAGCATTGGACCGATTTTTCAAATCACAAACTGAGCTATTTGAAAATGGCTTTAAAGTAAGTGTCTTTTTTATAGGATATTAATCTTTAAAAAGGAACAACCTGTACTGTAGTCATGGTGCTTGCTATGGCTCTCTTGCCTCTATGTTGCACTGATTCTATAAAAAACAGCTTCCTTGTAGAATGTACTAAAACCTTTCTCACATGACTGTGAAATAAGAAAAGGTTTTGCTAGTGTATTTGTAATAGGATTAAACTAGCCTAGTTTATTAAAAAGCCACATGTAAGGATAATGAGTTTCTGAATAATTTCAGGGAACTAACAAAAGAGTTAAATCTGAGCATTAAGCTGTTAAACCTATGAACTTTTCTTAGTTGGACTGCTGATTAGAAAATGAATGAAACAGCTTTTTTATACTCTACTTGTTCAGAATAATCATCTTCAATAGACCTCAAAATTGTTCTCTTAGTTAATAGTCTCCCATTACCACTAAATCATTTCTTCAGTCTTAGAATAGTGTTGAAATTAAAGGGCAATTCGTGTTGTTAGCACAGTCTCTCTAAAATAGCCACTGGGATTGAAAATCATATTTATCACCATCATCCAATATCTTTGGAGGATTAACATGTAAGCATTTATGCACAACAGAGTTGACCCCACCTTTCACCAGTGGAATCCCTGAAGGGGAAGTTAATTTCTGATTTTAAACTGAAAACTGAGGTCATAATTTTTTCATCTAAAGAAAAAGAAAATAGAACAAAGATAATTACTACAGATTTAAAAATACAGTTTATAGCATTTTTACCTGGCACTGTTTTCTTGCAAGACATCTTTTATGAAAAAAAATCAAGATATAGAGCTAAATGTAAAAATCATAAATAAGCATAGTGGCTTATTCATGTTCTCAACAATTCAGAGGCAAAATGAGGAGAAACACTGAAAGTTTAAGGCAAGCCTGAGAGCTACTAGAGCTACTATACTAGCATGGGGTATAGAATGTGACAGGTCCAAATACAAACAAACAAACAAACCAGGAAAACAATGCAAGACATACTTTAGTAGAATTATTGTCTTTAGCTTAATAGTTGGTTTGAATTTGCATTGACTACATGACGTATTTCCTTAAAACTTTACCTATGCTGTGATTATCAAAAGATAAATTTGCCATTGAATAGATGTATTGATCAAATGGATGAATTGATAAACAAGGCATGATGAATCACTTCAACTATGAACATCTAGTTTTATGGATCTGTCATTCAAATTTTAGCATTATGCAGACTGAGCAGGTAGCATTTATGCATTTAGGAATATGTATACATGTGGTATTACAAATGTGCATGGAACAATGTAGAAAGAGGCCATGATGTTGTTAAAGAGAGCAAGGAGGGTGTATGGGTAGGCTTGGAGAAGGAACAAGAAATGGCAAGATGATGCAATAACATTAAAATTTCAAAAAAATAAAAGAAGTTAAAAATACATAAAATTAAAAGAAATGTTTGTATTATTTAATAATGCTTGCTAGATAAAGAAAAGAGTTCCCTGAGGAGTCATATGTAAAATAGCTGAGCAAATGTGCAAGAAGTAGAGATGATTTAGCCTTTTAAAATAACTTTGATATTTCAGCATTTTCACTTTTATTATTGTGATTATTTTAGATTGCCCCTACATCAGAAAACGACTTTGGACGATATAACTGCACTGCTACTAACCGTATAGGAACAAGGTTTCAGGAATATATTCTTGAGTTAGCAGGTGAGTACAGGACACTAATATTTGACATTGATAAAATAATCTTATACCTAAGTGGAATTTAAAGCTACTAAAATTGTATAAACAAATTTTACATTAAATTAAAAGTATTTATAGTTGTTTAGTCATAATAAAAACATTATTTGAAGTAATGAATTAAGAGTTACAAAATAGAAAAAATATTTGACATAGTGAATAGTGAATTCTTACAATTCATTTAGTATCTACAGCTCATTTTAAAGAGTAATTTTTTTTGTCATGTAGATGTGAGATTATTTTAAGTCAACATGCATTTTGACCAAAGATATATTATAAATAATGTAAAATAACATTTTAAAATATGTCCACATCAATGTATTGTTTTATTTAAAATCTAGTGTAATTAATTCAAGAGGCATGAGTTTCTTCTCAGGAAGGTATGTGGAAACTCGGTGAGAAAATATACAATAGATATAACCTTATTTTATTTTTAATTTGACATCATAGGAAATATTTTATAATTGGAATTCCTACATGCACACTTCATAAAATGACCAATATCAACATCAATAGTAATGAGAAAATTACATCTGGGTCCTATGAGAGGCAAACAAAGGATCAAGGTGTAATCTCTGATATTTCTTCCCTCAAAGCTGAGGAGAACCTAATCTAACAAGCATAATACTTAGAAACATGTTGCCAGTGTAGTAAGAAGCCAACATTCTTATTAAGTCACTATACTCTAAAGGCTTAGATTAAGAAATGCTGCCCCACACTTTGGTTATTAATGTCCTTTACAATTAAATAAATTTTAAATAAAAGAAACACTTAAAAAGATTAGGCAAATTAAGAAATACACATAATAATTCTAAGAGACAAAATAATTATCATCTTAGGCAATATTATTGACAAAAATCAACAATATGTGGCCCAAAATTGGTAATAAGTGGCACTTTGAAAATAATCATTCATTGGTGAATAGCGTTTTATGAATTGAGGAAAATAGTTTATTAAGAAATGTGACTATTTAGAAAAATCACTCAAGTATCTTAAAGATACAAAAACATTCTCATACACATGATGATGTGACATTTATTAGCATTTTGATTAAATATTATTATGGAGATAAGACATACAGATACCAAACAAATATATTGATGAATTGGACAGTTTATGATTTATGCTTTGCTTTGTTATTTTCTCTGCTGTAGAAGAGCAGCTAGATAAACTATATTATGATGAGGATTTACAGCTTAATTGAATCACATTGTTATCATCTCTTATATTTAGTAAAATTCATAGATTAATTTTATTTATTTGTCAGATAGAGTGGATATTCAGGGATTGTGAAACAATATAGTATAGTGGAGCAGCAGGCTGCTTTCCACCCCCTGGGAGGGCTCCCAGCCACCAGCTAGCTTTTGCCCTGAAATAATTACACGGAAACTGTTTTCTTTTAAACACTGCTTGGCCCATTAGCTCTAGCCTCTTACTGGCTAATTCTCACATCTTGGTTAACCCATTTCTAATAATCTGTGTAGCACCACGATGTGGTGGCTTAATGGAAAGGATATTAACCTGCTCCATCTTGGAGAGGAGAACTATAGCATCTGACCTCACTGCCTTCTTTCCAATATCCTGTTCTGTTTATTCTGCCTACCTAATTTTCTGTCCTATCAAAGGGCCAAGGCAGTTTCTTTATTTAACCAATGAAATCAACACAAAACAGAACTCTTCCATATCAATATACCTTTTGACATGTTTCTTTGTATGTAAATATGTCATATTTTAGTCTACATTATGGTTTAACAATGAGCATGAGCACACGTAAACTAGTTAAAGGGCTTCCCTGAGGATGTCTCACATGAAAACATCATTTGTATTTGCTTTACATGTGAACATAATGAATCAAGACTTTTTACAATGATGTTTATTTATATTTATCTTTTCTGTATTTAATGAAAAAAGCATATGTTCTAATACAGTAATTTTATTAATATATAATATATGTAATGTTATAATCAGGATGATTATTATATTTCTATACAATTTCTTGGTCCTTCTTTTGGATTCTCTTGAACAATTTGAAGTAGTGGTACCAAAAAAGTATATCAAATAACAGCTTCAGCTAAATAATAGGTACCTCAATTTGGATTTGAAGTTTCCCATGTCATGTGCCACAGAAGACATTCACAGATCTACCTAAGTGCATAGACATAAGTCATTGTGAAATTGTACTTTCAAAACACCAAGAACAAATAAAGTGCTCAAAGAGAGTAGATAACTGTTATTACAGTCTACCGTATTTCATATAGGCAAATTCTTTTTAGTGGATATTAGGGTGGCGATGTGTTATTAGCTAAGGACCTTGATTACTTTAGACATTTAATTTTTATAAATAACATTTTTTTCTTTTTCATTATCTCATCTGTCCTCCTTTTTCCCATGTCTATAAGTGAAATATCTCATACTGGCACTGCTCACTTGATTTTCTTAACCTTAGTTCAGGGCCCGTACTTACCACTTTTAAAGTTCAAGTTGTCATATTTGACTCATCTCTTTAACCTACAGAGACCCAGTCAAATTCAATACTTTAGTTTTCTTTCCAAGATTTATTTAATTCACAAATATCATAAAGCTGTCAGCAATATTTTCATTTATGTCACAGATAAAACTCTAGAAGTCACTTGGGAGAAGAGAGACCTGATTAGAGGTTAAGCTATGTCAACTGCGCAGAATTTCATAGATAGAGAATAATCGTCAGTTCAGTGGTCTGTGTGATCAGATGACATTGTACCATAAAGCAGGGTAAAGTTAATCCATTTGAAAGGGAATGGTTTCATCATCTGATTATAAATCTGTTTCTTTCAGTGAAATATCTTAGAAAGATATTCTCATTGAGATTTATTTAGAGAATTCTGAAATAAACAGAGATTTTCAGTAACTAATCATATAGTCCTTTGCTTATTCATGAGCATACTATAAGAAAAACACTGGTTACCCTAACAATGATATTGGTAAAAAAATCTTTTGACAATAACTAATCACTAGTTAACAATTGAATAAACAATTACATGAAATGTTTCCCATAGGCACAGTATACTGTTTTGCATCTTTGAATGAACAGTTGAATAAGAAAGGCATTCAGTCATTACCTAAATTATAGTTCAATACATATGAGTTACAATACAACTTTAAATAAAATTTAAATTTTATGACTGCATAAAATTGATCTCTGATTTGAGTTCCTGGGAAAAGCTTCAAACAGATGTCCTCTTTTGATCGAAATAAAAAAGAAGAACTGGGGCCACAAACAATGAAAAGTGTACACAGGTCAAGGTGACATTGACAACAAATGCACTGTGCTATGAAAGAGTGAGAGATGCTTTGAAATGGGCCATTTGGTGAGGACGATGGAAATATGTTCAATGATCAGCCCAGTGTTTAGCAATGTGAATAGTAAGATCATGAAAGATCAAGTCACAGATTTCCTTTGAATATGTTTATATTCTGACTAAGGCATAGAATTAGAAAATTAATATTGGAGATGTTTATTCATAATACAGAATGATCCATTTGTTTTTGAAAAAAGCACAAAGGACTGATTTATGAACAGCACAAGATGGAGCCTGTTGCTCTTTTCAAGTTATCTAGGCATTTTTAGTCCATAAATGTATGAATGGATAGATAGATAAATGATAGAGAGAGATGATACTGTGATTAATGATAGATAGATAGATAGATAGATAGATAGATAGATAGATAGATAGATGACAGATAGATATACAACTACCTGAATTTTCTACCCAGTGTATAAAAGGTTTGGTGTATTAAAATTATTTGAGTAATAAGACATAATTGAAAGCATCAATTAAAAAGGGTATATGTGTACATATTATTTCTGAGAATATAATAATATACTGAAATCTTGATTTTGATTGAACAAATTCAATGAAAAATGTTAGTGATCAGGGATAAAACCAACAGGCTACCTAATTTGAGTCATTGAACTTAATGAACAAATAAAATTGGAAATGATTACACAGTTTATATAACCACTTCTAAGGAAATATCAGGAACATAGTTAATAAAATGAGATTAAGATATCAGTGGAATAATCATTTGAATTATGAAGCTGCTAAAAACCAGAATATTGGAATTTAAAGCAATTTCCAAGGAATTAGATGTTTTGTCACATATATTAATGTTCAAAACTTTTCTAATTTAATCTATTTTTCTTTTTCTTGAGAAAAATCTTCATACTATATATGCGATTATGTTTTCTCACCCCAATTAATCCTAGATCCTACCCACCCTTCAACTTGCCCAAATTCTTGTTCTCTCTCACTCTGTTAAAAACTCAGGAAACAAATGAATACCAAGAAACACACATCCATACTCATAAACAAAAAGTGGAAACAAAAGTGTTCAATCAAATGACCAATAATACTAAACATTACCAATCCAAACAAAATTAGACATAAACACTACACAGTCCCATCAAGTTCATTTTGAAATGAACCTGTATTGGAGAAACTGACAATTAAGTACTGTTAATGTACCCAATATAGTCTAGTATATACTTTTATCTTTAGAGATAGGAGCATGTGTGTACTTCCACCTCTTTGTTCAGGAACCCATGTGACTTGTACTTCTGTATTGTATCTGTATGGCACTGTTACTTGGAGTCATCCATTTGTTTTTGCTCTTACATTTATTGTCTCCTACATTGAGTGTTGAACCTTAAGGGGAAGAGTTTGAAAAAGACACCCCATCAACATATTTTGTCAGTTTAGAAAGATACCTTAGAAGCGAAAGTATCTGGCGAGAGCTCCTGTGTTGCAAATATTTTCCTCAATAAACCTTCAGTGGACTAAAGAACATATGTGGTATTTATAGCTCCTTTTGTAAGTTCCTAATCACATACATCAGAGCTCTTCCAATATTTTAAAAGACATCACCTGCTAACATTTTAACACTGACAGTTAAGTTTCACCATTAAAATACTGAGAGTATTAATATTA